AACCATTGCTAAGAGAAATCCTCAAAAAACCGATAATATCGTACAGAAACAAATAATCACTCAGACATGCTCTTGAGAGAAAATTGCGAGGGCGAGAAAACTGAATATACCATGGTGTTTCGTGTAAACATTTGTTGCTAATACACAGAAAACTGGACGTACGTCTGAATCATTTAGGCTTGTCAACTTCAATTTACACGGGAGCATTAATTAACCCCGTTTCTAAGGCAAAGAAATACTTTTTATGAGCTCGCCTATACCTCTCCCAACCCCTATCCCGCATTTGAATCGGAGTATTTCCCGGTCTCGCCTTCCTATCTTCATCCCCCATCTCGCCTTTAAAGTATCTATTCCACATCCCGCCTCGATTTTAAGCCTCATCCTGCATCCTGCCAAACCTACGTTGGACCCTCTCTACCACTTGCACTCAATATACGGGATTCACTGTTGGATTTAATACACTGAGCACACAGGAAATCTGCGGAGAGCGCGTTAAAGTTGTTAAAAATGTTTTGATTACCTTTATAACTACGATGCAGTCCTCCCTTGATTAGGCCATTCTCTTTGATCTTTAGATGCTTGATAAGTTTCCATCCGTTCTGACGGCAGTAGCTCTTTAGATGTTTATTCGCATCTTTCACTGCTCTATTGAATTCATCCCTTGTGGAAGTAAGCCTCGATATAGCGGAGGTGGCGTCGGATGAATTTTCGATTTGTCTATGATCGATTCAGCATCATGCAACACCTTTTATATTTAAGGTTATTGGAGCCGACTTAGAGAACGACTTGGTCCGGCGAATGCTTTAGGCTAGCTTTGAGATTGGCCTTCATAGCTTTTGAGGTGGCCCTACAGATTAACTTGACCAATTCTCTATGGCCAACGGCTTTTTCTAGCTTTTTACAACACATATTTGTCTTTGTTAAGGAAGCTCCAATTGATAGGGTTGTACATCAGTGTTGTAGCCACAAATGCTCGTTACATGTCCAACTTCACTTCCAAAATGGCTAAACGAAACGAAGTTCGGTAATAAATACGTAACCGGTTGCAAGAAATGGATTACAAGTATAGTTGTCACAATTCAAGGTAAAGAAATCAACAAACGAGAAAACAAAAATAAAGGAAAACAAAAGACACTTACAAACGTCGCACGAGGTCTGGGTCAACTGCCAAATTAAAGACGATGTAAAGCGACGTAAAGCAACGTAAAGCGGCGTAAAGCGATCGACAGAGACGGTATAAACAGTTAGACGGTTCGAATAGTTAAACGGTTGATCCGAATGAATAAAATCCGCGGAGAAGACTAATACAAGGGCCATAAACAAAAGGCAGTTATGCAGGAAAGAGTAACAGAATATTGATGAAAGTTATGCGCACAGAACAAAAGGCATGATTGAACTGTGACAAAAGAAGAGTACGAATTTGTAATCAATCGAATTTTTGGCGGCAACAGTGATGGTTATCGGGGACCTTAGCAACGGACTGTGTCCCATCTCCATTGTTCCTTTGTTTTTGTTTTTTAAATCTTTTTCTTCTCCTTGCTAACAACTTGCCATTGGTTGCGCATTTGTATTGGCAGAGGGTATTTTTGACTCCTCCTCATTAATTGGATTCGTTGCCAGAAATGACGGACAAAATGGCGGCGGTGGTGGTTTGGTACTTGGGAACGGAGTATTTAAAAATGGCTGGAGCGTTACAGTAACGTGTATGGAAAAATGAACTAAATTGGAAAGTAAAAATACCTCGAGATGCTGCACATGTTTCCCCGACCTCTTATTTCTCCTTCACTAGCAACAGGGGAGGCATTGCTGCACAACTTCTATTTGGCTTGACTTTTATATATCTTATATATACTTGTATTCGCTTGAAACTCTGCTACCTTTCAAAAGCTGAAAACCAGGGGAAATAAATATCAATCAAAATGGTAACTTAAAAGCACCTCTAAGCACATTCAGTTTCATATAAAAACATAATTTAATGTTATTGATGACAAGCATGTTGTACTTTGTCTTGAGAGCTAATATCAGCATGCATCAAACAAGCAGCGGCAAGTCACCCAATTTTTTTTTCACTCCTACTTTCATATTTTGTAGCACAATATGTTCTAACAATTGTGGTATAGTTTTTTTTGTGAAAATTAATTTTAGTTTTCGAGAAATAATTTTTTTCGTTCGACCGCTCAAATATGCAAATT